AGATGGCACGGGTAGTCGGGTACCGGGGGGCCGGGGGGGTGGTGCAATGAGGGGAGGAGATGGTACTTGTGACCGCGGCAGGGTTGAAGAAGGGGATGCCAGTGAGGGAATGCACCTGCAGCTGCGTGTAGGGATCTCGACGTGATCGGGGCAGGCAGGATGCGAAGTGCAGGACGAGATCGGTATCGGGATGATGAGGCACTGTGCAAGCAAATGGAATGACTTGACCTCCTACCGCACGGAAGTCTCGCACTGTGAAGTGCGTATTACCTGAAGGCGTAGCCCTACCTGGGTGTTCGTGTAGCAGCTGACAGAGCAACTCTGTTGGAATTACAGTCGGGGAATAGTAGGGGAAGCGCTTTGATCTGGTTGTGGGTAACGCGAGGAAGGAAGTATTCGAAGCGCGGAGGCTTTTAATTGTGAGAGCAGCAGGTGTCACCTTGCTGGGCGACCTTTCGGGGCAAGTGATGGAGGCAGGCCCACAGAGAGAGAGAGAGAGAGAGAGAGAGGATCTTTGGCTGATCGGATCCGCCAGTGACGAGGGATTATTGCGTTTGAGGACGTGGTGGCACGTTGTCTTGAGTTCAACACGTAGCGCACGCGCGCACAGAGAGAGAGAGAGAGAGAGGGAGTTCGTAGCTGATCCAATTGGCCAGCGCGGAAGGAACGTTGCATGAGGAAACTGTATGTGGTCTTGAGAGAGAGGGGCAGGTGATCTAAGAGTGCGTTGGTCAGCGTGGGTGTAGGGCCCTTTCCGTGTCTCCCGGTTGCTTAATGAAGTCACGCTTTGCGAGAGGATGTACCTGTATGATGTAACTGCGTGGGGAAAGAAGTTCAGTCGTCGCAAAAGGAGTGCAACACGGAGCAGTGACAGAGGCACAGACGCGCCCGCGCGAGGGAGAGAGAGAGAGAGAGAGAGAGAGAGAGAGAGAGGTGATCTAAGATTCCATAGGCCAATAGATTAGGGCCCCCTGCCATGTCGCCTGGTGTTTATCGTATCTTGTCTGGAGGTTTGGAAATGGTGGTAGAAAAAGACGCGTCGCGAAAATAGCGCAACACGGAACAGAGACATGCACGCACGCACGGGGGGGAAAGAGAGAGAGAGAGAGAGAGAGAGAGAGAGAGAGAGAGAGAGAGAGAGAGAGAGAGAGAGAGAGATGATCAGGCAACGTGGGCTGAGGGCCTCCCTGCTTAATGAAGTACAACCCTGTCTGCCCTGGGAAATGAACCGCATATGATTTCTACTTCATCTGGAAGGAGGTGTACTCTATTCAGGCAGGCTAACTATTCACCTTAATAGGGGGCATGTTTATTAGAGGTGTGCTGCATGGCCTATTGTTTAGGACGTTAGGGATGAAGAGCCAGAGAGGTTGGTGTGGGTGGATTGATTGTTTGGAATTCGTGTAAATCGGTCTCCGGAGACGAGCGACGAAGACGTGCTGACGTAACTTGCCTTTGGGGTTGCTTCCCTCCGTTCTCTCATCCCTCCCCCCCCCGCCCCCCCTCCCCCCTCCCCTCACATCTCCCTATTTCCTCTGCTTCTGTGAAGCGGTAGGATTGAAAGAGAGGGATCCAATGTAATACATTCAGCAAATGAATGAAGCTGTAGGAGATGTTGGGCGTGCGCTTTGCCAATGACGCTTCCAATCAGCGAAGACCAGAGGCCTTTCGACAACACATCATCATGGCATCAACGAAGCGAAGAGGGTGGATGTCGCGGGTGCTCCTCTTCGGCTGCCGTGCTGCGGCCTGTGGTCGCCCTCTCGCAGAAATGCATGTGCCGCTGGAAATCATGCGGCACATGAATTTCCGGCGCAAGTGGGCAGCTGATGGCGCCTTATGCGGCGGTGTTATTACGTCGCCGGTCAATTACTTGGGAGTGCTGGGAGGCAGTCCTTCTGAGGGGGGACAAGCGGGAAAGGACAACAGGATGTGTATTATGGGGAAAATGGGGAAGGGTCGTTGATGATGGCTGGCTGCGTGCCGTTGTTACGTCGTCAGTGCTATGTGTGGAGCTCTGGGAGACTATCATATTCAGAGGGGACAACAGGGGAAAGCAGTGCAGGACGTCTATAATGGGGAAAATCTCTGGAAGCCGGAGGTCGATGATGGCAGGCTGGCGTTTAGTAGCTTGTCAGTCCAATGATTGGAGCGCTGTAGGCAATCAATCAGCCAATGATTCAGGGGGACAGCCTCGAAAAGAAGTACAACAGGATGTTAATTATGCTGTGATCCGATGTTTAAGTGCCTTGTGATGGGGTGATCGGTCTACTATTTGCAGCGCTTACAGGCGATTATGGTTGATTGATTGCCTGCTATAGTGTTAAGGTGATGGGGTTGATTGATTACCTGCTATAGTGTTAAGGTGATGGGGTTGATTGATTGCCGCCTTAGTGTTAAGGTGATGGGGTTGATTGATTGCCTGCTATAGTGTTAAGGTGATGGGGTTGATTGATTGCCTGCTATTGTGTTTTTTTTGTCCTAATAGGACACGTGAGTGGACATGTTTGGTGTACGTGGATTACTGACTTGAAAACTGTACGCTCATGCGCTCTATGCGGGAAGGCAGGCTCACTGGCGGCCACGAATGGTCGGTCTGAGAACGTTGATGCTCTTCACAGCGGGTTCCCCGTTCTATTGGTGAAATCTTGGAATCGTAAGAGGGTGCGAGCGGTTGTTGTCCGACAATATAGGCCGATGGTTTATCCCTATCCTCCTCGAAATGTACCTAGTGGGAAGACGGAGTATGATACCTTGGGCCGGTGGTTTATCCCTATCTTTGATATGGACCTAATCGGAATGCGAGTACAACCTCTGCCATGCAGGTCGGCCAATGAGTGATTTCTCGTTTTGCTGGGTGAGCTCGTATCACGTTGTGCCGTCGTCTTATCTATGATATTCTCTTAGTGGGCGGCGTAGTGCCTCCCGTGCCTAGCAAAGGATTTGCATCGTGTGGTATGTTCTCCTGACAATCTCGTGCATGTTCTCTTCCATGATTGATCGTCGAGGGCAGTGGTACAATTTCCAGACATACAGACGCATCCACATGGTTGGGGGGAGAGAGAGAGAGAGAGAGAGAGAGAGAGAGAGAGATTTGAAAGGATGTGAACAGGACGGATTGTATTTTCGGCTTAGGTTTGCTTATTTCGGCGTTGTTGGAACACCTACGAGCGTGTTTGATTGTGGAAAGGATGTTGGTGTCTTGGCTAGGCTGCTCATTGTCGATCGTGAGCAACAGACTGTCATCTTTTGTTAATCTCCTCTCTGTGTCTCTTTCTGTCTCTCTCTGAAGGCAGGGGTAGGTTGATTTCCAGGGATATAATGAACAGACGTACTCTGCCCGTGGAGGGTCCTGTCGTCAACCTGCGAAGTTTGAATGCGCTGGATTGGTCTGCATGAACTAGTGCAAGGCAGGATCGAGAGCACGGAAGAGGGAAAGTCAAGAATGGGAGGGGAAGAAGGCAAGAGTAGACAAGCTGGATGGGTCTGCATGAGCTCGTGCAAAGGCAGGATCCAGAGCGCGGAAGATGGAGCTGCTCATGCAGACAGGATCTGGAGCACGGAAGAGGGAAAAGCAAAGAATGGGAGGGGATCAAGGGAAGGGTAGGCAAGCAGGCTGCGGATCCCTTCCGGAAAGGAAGTAGGGAGGGTAAGCTGATATGCAGCAGAGATTTAAGGGGAACACATACTGTGCTCATGGAGGGTGTTGTCCTCAACCTGTGAAGTTTGAATGCGTGGATTGGTCTGCAAGGCAGGATCGAGAGGATGGAAGAGGGAAGTGAGACTGTGAGAGGGGGATGACGTGAGAAGAGTAGGCAAACCGGCAGTGAAGAGAGGATAGCAGGCGGCGGATGTCTTCCGGAGTGGAAGGCGGGAGATCAGACAAGCTTATGCAGGCAGGCAAAGCAGGCAGGAGGCTGGCAGGCAGGTTAGCACGTGGCATCTGTGTTTGCAATCAAGGAAATCACAGTCAGTTAGGTCATCATCTAATGGACTCTTGGTGCGACGGACCATTTGATTCTTGTGCAGTAAATGCTCTTTCTTGGACATTCATAGCGGAATGCACCTGGTACAACAGTAAAGGCATTTGGACTCTTCCGGAATGCACCTGGTCCAACAGTTAAGGCATTTGGACTCTCTTCCGGAATGCACCTGGTCCAACAGTAAAGGCATTTGGACTCTTCCGGAATGCACCTGGTTCAACAGTAAAGGCATGTGGACTCTTCCTTGGAAATCAAGGAAAGATTTCATGGACATTCCGATAAGTCCAACAGTGAAGGAAAGTAGACTCTTTCATGGAATCAAGGAAATCACAGAATGTTGGACGTATTGGAATGCACCTGGTCCAGAAAGAGTCCAAATGCTTGTAGATTGTTGTGCAGTGCAGCGAAGCCCAATAAGGCAGGAGTTCCAGATGTGAACCACATCTGGTACTATCTCTCCGCACTTTGACCATTTGGGCAATCCTGTTCTGTGTGCCCCGCGGACTCCTTCCCGTCGCAGTTTGCCTCGTCCACATATTAAGCCTACGAGCCGCTGTCAGGGCACACTGTAGCCAATGTCGTCAGCGGAATTGATTGAGGTGGAGATAAACAGCTGGGACCACATCTCGGCGAATAGAACTTGACGAATGTGGAGAGTGCGTGGTATTCGCACGGTAGCCATGCTATCGGTTTGTTTGTTTGTTTGTTTCCGAGTTAGGACCGATTCTCGATTTATGCATGTAATCCAACAGGGTGATGGAGCCATGCTAATCTTCTCTGTGTTGTTCCAATTTGAACGGATGTGCCGAAGGAAAGGAGGACATGCAACAGGGTAATTGAGATGGGGATGAGGAAGATGTGCGCGTGCACATGTGATGTGCTGAAACAAATGGTCTATTGCGGGCACAATGGGATCCGACAGAAGCCTTGCAGGGTAGGGTGCACTTTTTGATTTTCTGTGAGAGATGCTTCTGGCTGACCTTTGTAGCTGATGCCCATGTGTTTGTTTGATTGCAGGTTAAGCAACATTGACGGCGTAGGAGATCTTGGAAGCGGGGGCAACATCGCTGTTGGTAACCGGGTTAGGAGAGCTGGAAGCTGGGGCTACATCGGTGTTCGTTAGCGGGTGACGACGGTTGGTGAGGGGATTATAGAGGTGGCAGATTTTGTACGGGAGTGGTGAGATTGATTGGAGCTGGTACCATCGAGGGGGGTTCGTTGGAGACATCAAAGCCGGTCGCAACTCATGCGTGCATCGTTGATATTCTTCGGCGTTTTGGGGTGTACATGTCGGGGGTCTCGGGGCTTCTGGAGGCTACCGCATGACATAGCTGTGAATTGCGAGGGATTGTCTATTGGGGGGAGGACCCGCCTGTCGACGGGGGTTCTGCTGATTGCAGTGGGGTGATGTGACAAGGCCCTAGATGATGGATGAGCTCGGGAGCAGGAAGCGCCACCGTGCAACGAAAGCTCAGGTTAATGCGGCAAAGGTGTATGTGAATGCATCGACAACAAACGAGGTGCTGGCGGAGGTGAGTAGGATCTACGGTGTGAGCCTCGCAACGCTAAAGAGGTGGAGATCGACATGTGTGAAATCGTGCTTGCAAGAGCAGCAACTTCTAAGGAAACACTCGGCGGCAGCAGCAGCAGCAGCGGCGGCCGTTGTAAATGTTCCTCCTGTGCAGTGTCCTGGGATTGGGCTAGGGCTGGGGCAGGCGGTGAGGGAAGGGGAGGGGTTCTTCAATCAACGGCCTCAACATCCTGCAGGGATGCAGCTAGGTTTGGGACTTGGGTTTGCTCCGGCGACAGGAACGCCAGATTTAGGCTTTCCGACGGTGTGGGGCACGGGGTACATGGGAGACTCGAAGGGGGCGATCCCGGCGGCAGTTGACTTGGGCGGAGCGGGGTTCAGATTCACATCGGGAGAGCCGTTGGCAATGGCGGAACAGACGCCCTTGAGATTACACTGTTTTGTTCCAGAGGAGAAGGTGGTGAGAGAGAGGGAATGCCAGATGGGGAACACGGCAGTGAATTTAGTGACGATGCCGACGGGGGAGATGCAACAGCATCGGCCATCGATCATAATAGAAGATGCGCAAAGTTGCGTGCACGATGGAAACGAGGAGAGGTGTAGGAGAGGAGAGAGGGAGGTGGTGAGTGGTTTCAAGCCGGAGTGTTACGGAGACGGAAGTGGAAGTATCATTCTCGAAGGAGATATGTACTGTACATATGATGAGGTGTGCAAAGATGAAGGCTCCGGAGTGGCTGACGAAAGCCGGGTGGAAGATACGTCCACGGTACGGAAGAGAAGATGGAGTAGTAGAGGTGCAGCGGGATTTGATGATGGAAGGTTCTGATTTGTGAACCTAGGCATCTTAGGTGAACTCCCACAATGCTCGCAGTCGGCACTAACGACCAGTCTTGGCAGAGGTTTCTGACGTTGTCCTGAGCTTTGCATAATCGAACTGCGGGTTGAGATATGGCCCAGTCCATTCCCCTTCACATGAGTCGAAAATTTCTACCCTCTTGAATACCTTCCCCGTTCCAGACGTACGATTCCACTCCCAACATCGACCTTGTGAGGTCCTCGGGGAGTCTTCTACTAACGCCAAGGCTCCCGCTTTCTCAGGTTACCTGTAGATGTGCAGATAGGTGTCAGAGGAAAGAAGTGTTTCACAGACATGGAAACACACACTCACACACACACACAGACACACACACACAGAGAGAGAGAGAGAGAGAGAGAGGCTCGAAAATTGTTGTCCTAAGATTGAGAGTTCCGAAGTGCTCAGGTGCAGAAATGTGTTTGTTGGCTGGAGCAGTAGGGACAACATGAGGAATTCTTAAATTCCAGCGAAAATGGCGGTGTGTGTGCGTGTGTGTGTGTGTGTGAGAGAGAGAGAGAGAGAGAGAGAGAGAGAGAGAGAGAATTTTTTTGCTGGTTCTTTCCCATTGAATGCTCTAACTCTGAGAATTGGTCCTCAGGGTGGAGGGTGATATGTAGGTTCTGAGAAGAACACATTTGTTGGTTTGCTCAATTCTTCATTTGTTGCTTCTGGCAACTTCGAGAGGGTCAGCGATTATATGCTTGCCCTCTGGCTGGCAGGAGTCTGGCCTCAAAAAGCCATCTTGAGCCATCTTGAGATTGGCCGTTTCTGCAAGGGGAAACAGAGAGGACGACGCACCCCTTCTTACCCCTACACTCCAAAAACTGTCCCTTTGTCTCTCTCTCTATTTCTGGCCGTCTTCTCTTTTCTCCGTTTCTTTATCGCATTCCGCTTCAGCTTCATGTTTGGTACTTTGCCACTCTGTTGCACCCTCTCATTTCATATCTGAATCCTTGCTGCCGTCCTCTTCCTCTATGACCCTTTTCTGTCTGACGCCTTCCCCCTTGCGTCCTCTAGTCTCTCATCTTCCTCCCCCCTCTCTTCATCCTCTGTTCTCTTTTCTTCTGTTCTCTGTCTGTGTGTCTGTCTGTCTGTTTGTCTGTCTGTCTGTCTATCTGTCTGTCTGTCTGTGTGCTGTCTGTGTGCTGTCTGTGTGCTGTCTGCGTGCTGTCTGTGTGCTGTCTGTCTGTTTGTCTGTCTGTCTGTCTGTCTGTCTGTCTGTCTGTGTCTGTCTGTCTGTTTGTCTGTCTGTGTCTGTCTGTCTGTTTGTCTGTCTGTGTCTGTCTCTCTCTCTCTCTCTCTCTCTCTCTCTCTCTCTCTCTCTCTCTCTCTCTCTCTCTCTCTCTC